ATAAAAAGAGAAGAATGCATAAAGAACCCTAATACGAACAAAACAAGAAAGTAGACGAGCATAGCGTCATTATACACAACTATATTCGGAGATCAAAGCAGATTACCCATTTATGGGCGCAGCCCCTGCATATATCAACCACCAATCAGCATCAAATCCACATATTGGATAAACAGACCCATCGAGTTTGTAGCACAAGCTTATTTCTAACAGTTAAATGAAACGGCATTTGTTGGAAATAGTTAAAGAAAACAAATAACGCAAAGTAATTCCCAACACTCATGATTGGGCAAGGTACCAAAACATAAGTCATGCGTCCGAAGAATTTAGTTGAATTGTGAGTCAACTTTTCAGTTACAAGCTTAGCATTATCTGCACAAAAGGTATACGACGTGCTGAATCTGATAACACAACAGAATTGTTCCTCCTTTCGCTGCTGCCAAGCATGTTTATTGTTTTCGTACTGCCTCATCCAAATTCCCCACAAATTATAAGCTCAATCCTATGGTTTTTATAGTTTCAAAAAACATCCTCTTTCCAAGTTTGATTTTACATTGCAATGATTGAATATTTTCTTTCCTGTATCTATTTCATTAATCTCCATAAACATGCTCTATAGGTACTCTATCCTGTCTCCTCTATTAAACCATTTCCCTCTGCAGTTGCAGCTGAGTCTCCCAGCAGACACGAATGTTTTGATTTGGAGACAACTCTGGTTAGAAAGCCAGGCCTTGCAGGGAGAGTGGCCGAGAGTGAAATGATGGAGAAGAAAACAAGACTAACCGATGACTTAGAGGCAAGTGGACAGAAATTTCCACCCCAAATCCTCTGTTTCTAACACATGCAACAATCCTCCAGATGCCCAGCCTTCAAAAAATACTGATAGCATTAAGAAAGAAACACTCGAAAACTGACATCAGTAATCTTATTCTTGATGGAGCAGAGCAACAATTCGATTAAGTTGCATGAAGGAAAAGTGAAACGAACAAATAACACGCATTTACGGGGAGGATGGATGATTGCCCTACCCGCATAGAATCGCATCAGAGAAAAACAGGTGTAAATTTATGTGTACTGTTGTTTTGTGTATGCTTATGTTTGCAAGTCTCTTCGTTGGATGCAGCCCATGAAAATACTCCGCTTGATGCAAGGTATGACGGGTAAAGGACAAAAACAGTAAATATCCAAACACCAGAGGAAAGAAGCCTTAGTGTGTCACATCAGCATAAAAAATCAAGCAAGCTACAAATATATCTCTGCAGCATGCGCTGTTTACTCTGCTGTTAATCAAAAACTGCCAAATCTTCAAATGTCTTAAAGCAATACAAAAAAATAACACCTAACCTTGCATTATAATTTAACTGGAAGCCGTGGCTCAGGAGAAAGATTGAAAGCGTTGTTATACACTGAACCATAAAACCACAACACAGAACTTAATTCAGAAGCCAAATGCTAACTTATTACAGACCCAGATATGATTGCATAGAGAACACATAGTGGCTAGGTCTCATTGTGGCTAGAAAGTATGTGTTTTTATAGATGTGTCTTTCTTGTGTGTTCTTTTTAAGCTTTGACCTCTCTGAGCAAATCAACCGCACAAGGATTGTGTTCCTATGTGCTGCAAAATGCACAAAAGGCATAATAAGAGTTCTTGATATCATTGAATTCTTCTCTCCGTTTCTCGTTTCCTGTTCATAAATAAATATTGTCGCGGGGAACTGATTATATGAAACTCTTACAGAAAAGGAAATAGCCAAACTAATGTCTGCAGTTTTATTTGTTAAATGCGTATACATTCAATGTTTACTCCTCATTATTTTAATAGCATTTTCATGATATCTTTCTCCCTATCACTGTCAAGCTGAGACACTTAAAGCCATTTCTTCTGTCCCTGCCAGTCTGTTGCTAATGTGAATTAGCAATATGGAAAGTGGACTTGATGTTTTAAAGCTTTGAAGCTTGGGTTTAAAGTTTTTGAATGTTTTTTAGTGAATAAGAAGCGTCCAGTCTTATTGTATACGATCAGCATGACACTGTTTGTTCATTTCTTTTCCCCTACATAAATCTTCTATTACCTTACTTTCGATCTCTTCATATTGTTTCCCCCTGGAGTTCGCTCATGGGGGCCACCGTTGATTATTACAGTTGAGGCAGGCGCTTCGTAGTGAGATATTACCAGTGTTTAGTAGCATCTATACTTGGCCGTTTCCCTTATTAAATAATCAACTTTTGATAACTTTATTCAATTTATTAACAAATTAATGCTTATAATCTGTACATTAAATTACTTTTACTATTTTTCTACAAATATATGAGATGATGATGATCCATCTTCTGACATGGGTTGTCTTGCTTGGCTGGTGTTGAGATTTGGTAAAGGTGTTGTGGTATTCTTAACTAATATTAAGAATTTTTCTTATACTAGTATAGTCTCAAGATTAGATTTTTTCTATAAGTCGCCACTTTTTTTTTTTATGCTCCTTTGGGTGTGCGTCTTTGCGTTTTGGTTTGACATTATTTCTGACTCAAGTGGGCCAAGAAATCGATAATTTGTTGATAATGCGAGCGCTATTCTGAAAGCCTGTTTTGTTGACTGCCGGTAGGAATTGCTGTCTTTGTTATATAGTTTATGATGACAGGCATGACAGATGGCCTCTGACCGAGATGCTAATGTTTAGGTCTTGTTTATGGTTACCATTCTTAGCTCTTAGCATTTATTGGCTTCATGCGGATTAACTATTAAAGTTAAGGCACTTGAAACACAAGTGCTATACATGCTAAAGCCTGAATGGGAATGTCATTAGTTTTACGTTTTAAGTATTTCTGGTGTATACTTCTCTAGAAAATAAAAAGAGAGTGCATAAGACCCTATATAAAAAAGAAAGTGAGAGCATAGTCTATTATAAACTATATTGAGTCAAAGCAGATTACCTTTGGGCGCAGCCTGCTATATAACATCAGCATAATCCAATATTGGTAAAATGAGTTGTAGCACAAGCTTATTTCTAACAGTAAATGAAACGCAGTTTTTGGAATAGTAAAGAAAACAATACCAAAGTTTATTCCCAATATGATTGGCAAGTACCAATAATCATGCGTGAGATTTAGTTTGATTGTAGTATTTCAGTTACACTTACATTTCTGCACAAAAGGTATAGACGTGCTGATCTGATAACACAACAGAATTGTTCTTTTCGCTGCTCCAGCATTTTTTGTTTTCTCTCATAAATCCCACAATTTAGCTAATCCCTTGGTTATGTCCAAAAAATCT